GGTGACAAAATGGGGAGGGGGACGACAAATGGAGAGGGGGTGACAAATGTGGAGGGGATGACAAAATGGCCCAGGGAGGTGACAAAATTGTGGGGGATTGATGGGAAAAGGGGGTGGGACAGAGCTGGGGAGGTGACAGCAGCAGGGGAGGTGACAGCAGCAGGGGGAGGTGACAGCAGCAGGGGGAGGTGACAGCAGCCCCCTGTCCCCCCCAGCTCCCCAATTTCTTCCTGAAGATCCCGGACTACGCCCTGTACGCCCCCGACGTGGAGTTCCAGTGCCAGCACCTGCACCTGCACACGCGGTGGGTGACACTGGGACAGCCCTGGGGACAGCCCTGGGGACACACCTGGGGACAGCTAGGGACACCTGGGGACACACCTGGGGACACACAGGGACAGCCCTGGGGACAGCCCTGGGGACACACCTGGGGACAGCTAGGGACACCTGGGGACACACCTGGGGACACACAGGGACAGCCCTGGGGACAGCCCTGGGGACATCCTGCCACATCCCCACGCGTGTCCCCACACATGTCCCCATGTTCCTATCCTCACCCACCTCCCCACATCCCCATGTCCCCTGCCATGTCCCCACACGTGTCCCCATGTCCTCACATCCCCACGTCCCCTGCCATGTCCCCATGTCCTCTGCCACATCCCCATGTCCCCTGCCACGTCCCCACATCCCCACATCCCCTGCAATGTCCCCACATCCCCATGTCCCTATGTCCACATGTCCTCACGTCTCCTGCCATGTCCCCTGCCATGTCCCCACGTCCCTATGTCCCCACGTTCCCTGCCATATCCCCATGTCCCCTGCCATGTCCCCTGCCGTGTCCCCACATCCCATGTCCCCATGTCCCCACGTCCCCACGTCCCCATGTCCCCTGCCACGTCCCCACATCCCCACGTCCCCTGCCATGTCTCCATGTCCCCTGCCACATCCCCACGTCCCGTGTCCCCTGCCATGTCCCCACATCCCCTGCCATGTCCCCAAGCCCCATGTCCCCTGCCACGTCCCCTGCATCCCCACGTCCCTGCATCCCCTGCCACATCCCCATGTCCCGTGTCCCCTGCCATGTCCCCACATCCCCACATCACCTGTCACATCCCCACGCTCCCCGCGTCCCCCGCCATGTCCCCTGCCACATGCCCACGCTCCGTGTCCCCTGCCGTGTCCCCTGCCACGTCCCCGTGTCCGCGTGTCCCGCAGGTGGAGATGCTGGAGCGCAAGTACGGCGGCTATTTCCGCTCGCGGCGCGCGGCGCGCACCATCCAGGCGGCGTTCCGGCGCTACCGCATGGCGCAGAAGTTCGAGCGGCTGCGCAGCGAGGGCGGCCGGGCGCGACGCCTGGCGCTGCCGGGGCTGCGCCTGCAGTTCTCCTTCGAGGAGTACGACCGCGGCCCCCCGGCCCCCGCGCCCGGGCCGCCCCCGC